AATTCTTGGTTTTTTTTGTAAATTTTCATGTTGTTACTACATGTACCTTATACTAAAATATGTTTGAATATTTAGAATATTAACAAATTCCCACTCCCGGTCTGCTTAGACTTTATAATATACCATAAATATTCACTTTTGAGATATAATTTTTGGTGTGTGTTGGTTCTTGGATATTTCAGCTTCATCGTACTGTTCTTCGTTTAGTAATTCAGACTTCCCAGATAGTTTCGCAATTTTGACACAGAAAATGCTTTGGCTAAATCATTTGCTGAGGGACGGCCGATTAGGTATGTGCACTCTAACCTAAAAGCATTAGGCAGTCAAACAAACAAGCCGGTAGGCTGGTTGACAATCCCTCCACTCAAAAAAGAAGTAGCATGTTTTCGGCTGTTGCCATGGGAGGAGATGAACGTAAAGCTAACATCGGTTTATAACTAAAACCGGGCAAGTTTGCAAAAAACATTGCAGTCTTTAGAAGTCAATTTATTTTATTGCTAGGACGTAATCTGCTGTTGATTTATTATTTCCTACTGTGATAGTATTTTCTAGATTGAAGGCAGCATTTACAGTTCATTCATAGTTCAAAGTTGTGTTGGACTTATGTTGTTACAGTGTAATAATGTCGGCGCCGGTGATCTCTTACCAGTGCGCAACGAAGCCAAAAAAATAAAAAGCATGATCATTTAAACACTGCTTGTACAAGACTGGTAGGAGGTAATAAATAAGTGACAGTACGACCTGCCTGGCAAGTATGAACAAAATCAGCCAAGCAAAAAAAATCACAGAGGAGTTAAAAGGCGTTGCTGTTGAAAAATTACCACAAGTTTGACGTAAATTTTCTTGCTAATGAAAATAGACATAAAAAACAGTAAGTTTATTCACACACTCAAGCTGAATAGAATGAGCTACGTTCGTGCTTTTTATTCAACGAAATGTAGGGTGAGACACACATACTCAAAAAAGTTGGTTGTTGCCAAGGAAACGGTGGGCCAGAATTTGTTTTCATATTCTACAACCTAACTGGAGTGAAGGTGTTACTTGCCTGCCAAATTTGAACCAAAAAAATTACAGAAGAGTTAAAAAGCCATTCCTGGTGAATAGTTACCCCAACTTTGGGGTCAAATATTTCGGTAATGAAAACAAGATATCAAAAACTCAAATAGTAACTTAATGCCCACACTCAAGCTGAGTAGAATGAGCTATGTCTGAGGTGTTGTATCCTAAATTTGTAGGAGGGGATACATTTAGTGCGAAGCTATCCACAAATCAGTTTTTTGGCTGTTGCTATGGCAAAAACATTTTTTCAGATTATTTACTAATACCTAGAATGAAGATGTGACCTACATGCCAAGTTTGAGCAAAATAGGCCAAGCCAAAAAAATCACAGAAGAATTAATATGTGAAAACACACACTCAAAAACAAACACACACAAAAGAGATTTTAAGGGCAAATGTCGTTGTACTAAAGTACGTTCAAGGTCTTCACTTTTTCAAAGCATAAAAACGGTTTTTCCCCTTGCTGATTGTGACACCCTTAAAAGCGAGTAATTTCCATTACCCTCATGGGTAAACAATGATTCAATTCCCTACTTACGCAAGGCTATCGCCACAGTAAATAGTCTCTCACCTCTTGGTTATTATCACTGATTTTTGGTGTCAAAGTAATTCACATCCCAAATTTTGGTTCCCTAGCGCCTCAAATAAATAACCCATATCATGGCTTGACAGAATCAATGATATACCGTATTACCCCGGGCACGCGCCCAGGGGCCTGAACGTACAAAATCGGGAAAAATTGGGGGTGGGCGCTTACCCAAGGACCACCCCAAAAAAGATTTTAAAAAGTTGTTTTTGTGATCGTATGATAAGGTCAAATAAAGGAATGCTTTCGTACACTTTGTACACGTACTTATTTCTTGATTTATGCGAGGTTTCAATAAACGTGAGCACTCGGTCAAGATCTGTGGGAACACTAAGACACAGGGTCGAATTTCAAGAATAAAACTTGTTTTATGTCAGCGAATGAAGTTGTATTACTCACTGAAATTGAC